GATAGACCATCCTTGGAGGAGATTTTCAACCACTCCTGGCTGCAAGGCGCTCACCACCCCTAGGAGATGGCAGCCACCCCACCTGCGCACTTTGGCCCGGGACCCTGGCCAGTAACAGCTCCAGGCCTCTCCTGGCCATAAGAAGCCAAGAAGACCAGGCTTCCTCACCACCGTAGCCTGAGCAGAGATCATGGGGACCACGCACATCCTGTCCTGAAGCTGGGCTGGAGACCTGATCGTCCAAGTGCTTGTGGCCGCCATGCAACCCAGCTCTCCTGGGCTCCATCTGAATGACCCTGTCTCATTTGCTGGTCTTGCCAGCAATTTTTTGTTTGTTTGTTTGGGGTTTTTTCTGTCACTGGTGGAGAGAGGAGACCTTATTGCAAACCATCTGGTTTTGGTGGCTCCCAAACATCTTCCTGAGCACCTGAATTCAGGATGGTGAGAGGATCGGAGACCTTATTGCAAAGAGAAGCTTCCACGGGGGAAAGACTTGGGGAAGAGGGCAGGTACTGTGGCCGATTCGCTACCTCCTCCACTGTCACCCTGGTTGAGTGCCTTCAGCTGAGATCTGGACTGTGCTGGAAGAAATACTTGAATTTTCCTACACTGCTGCTTTTCCCAGACTCGCCTGGGTATATACTTTTCCCCTTTCAAAACTAAAACTGGTCAGAGGACACCTGGGAGCCAAGGAGGCGATCCCTCATCTCCCATGCCTCCACCTTGCCTGGATTTTCTGGGTTTCTTTGCTTCCCCATGCCTGCACCACACGGTCAGCGCTCAGGGGAACGGCCCAGCACCACCTGCACTGTGCAGTCAGTGCTCAGGGGAACAGCCCAGCACCACCTGCACCACAAAGTCAGTGCTCAGGAGAACAGCCCAGCACTGCCTGCACCGCACGGTCAGTGCTCAGGGGAACAGCCCAGCACTGCCTGCACCACACTTCCATCACTGGTGTTTGTTTGCCATGACAGCAATGTCCAGCAGTCTCCAGCTTTCTGAGCAGTGCAAGAGCAGGGACGGTACCTGGGGATGGCAGCTGGGATGAAGAGCTGTTGGGGAGACCCTGGTGAGCAAGACTCGCTCCTGCCTGGGCGACTGGGAGCAGCTGATCCTGCCGGGGGTCCCTGCTCCTCTGGCAGGAAAACTCTGCAAACCTGGATCCTGCTGTTGGCATTAGCAGAACTGTGGCTCTGGGGGCTGTGGCACAAGTAAAGTGGAGAGGAGAGCCATGACTGCTTCTTCTGCCTTGTCATGCTGCCTTTACTAACACCCCATAATCAGAGCCAGTCCTGACAGTGATGGGCTTTATAAAGGACACTTCTGCCCTTCTAGACCTTGGGAAGCAAAGGATGGAGTCCTACAGCAACATCCTTCCGTATTCCAGGGCTGGAAAAGCAGCTGGCCAGAAGACCCTGTAGCAAAGGTTTGCTGGCAGCCAGCCTTTCTTTGGCCAGCAGAGATCATGGGGGAAGGGTGCACTTGGAAGAGCTGTCAGGGAGAAGCTCAGACATTTGACATTGCATCGTGATATCTTCTTTGACCTGAGCTGATTTGATTTTATATATACAAGGGAAAAACAAACAAAACAAAACAAAACAACAAAAAAACACAAAACACCTCAGCATATAACTGAAGGGTTTCTTTTTTAAAAAATGTTCTGAAACATTTTACAATTTGCTCTGCTGTTGCCTTCAAATAGAGCTTATTATTTTATTTGTTATTTGAAGATTTTCACACTGTTTTCTTCTGTCATATGTGTCAGGGTTTTGACTTTTGTTTTAATACTTAAGACCAGCAATAGAAAAAGGAAGCTTTGCAGCTTTGTTGTAGCTTGGAAAATGTGTCACTGGTGGATAAATTTATTTTTCAGACTTTCTGTTCCTTTGCCAAAGTTTGGAGATATTTTGGAGTTTGAGATAGTGTGTTGGGGGAAATTATTTAAGGAAAAGAAAAGGGAAAACTCCAACCTCATTCTATTATTATTGAGATAGGTGAAACCAACAGAAGAAAAAACTCTCCAGAATATGAACTAGTATATGCTTAAAAATGAAGTTATTTTAAAAGACCCCCAATATTTCAGTCTTATTGCAGTTGTCCATCCACATAAGATCCTCTTTAACTTCTGAATGAGGCAGGTCTGATCCCTTCTTTCTCCTGGGCTGGACACAGGGCACACATGGGATCTCCCCCTCTTCCTTCTCACGTCTATCCCAGGCCTGTAGGAACCAGGCTGTCTCTGAGACCTACATCCCCTCCCAGGCTGGATGGATAGCGGCCGGTGGATTCACCCACACACGCCTGCACACACAGAATCATCACATAAGCCTCCTTTGGTTAGAAAGCCAGGAGAATAATAACAGGTATTTGAATAACCAGATCGTTCCTTTGATACTCGCGAACAGC